AAACTAGCTATTGCACCCGCCCCCTACTGCTTTCAATCACCATAAGAGGACCTGATAGAAAAAAAATCAGGTCCCCCTCTGCTGATTGACAGCAGCAATGGGCGGGTGCATTAGCTAGTTTGCTATTGGCTATTGCAAAGTGCAATAGCCAATAGGAATCTATGTGAGCAATTATGTTGCGCTTGGTAGTGAGCAATATTCTTTACTGTATCACCTTTCAGTGTTTGTTATATTAAGTAAAAAATAATTAAATGAATAAATAAATGAAAAGAACAAAAATAGTTAATGGTGTAAAGTATATATAATAAAATTAATAAATTATAATTATATATATATATATATATATATATACACACACACACACACACACAAATATATAAAAATAAATTAATATATTGCTATTTTGAGCATTTAACTACCCCCTCACTGCAAAGGTTAGGCCTGGTTCACACCTGGGCGTTTTACAGCGGGTTCCTACGCTCTGTAAAACACTCAACATGTGAAAACCAATGATTGCCTATGGGCATGGTTCCCATGTGGGCGTTTTACACGCGCTGCAAAACGCCCTACGCCCAAAGAAGTACAGGAGCTTCTTTGGGGCGTATTTGCCGTGCGTATCCATTGGGATACAGCCAGGTAGTCCTCGGAAACGCGCGTTTGTCGAGCGGGTTTTTTTTACGCGAATCGCGGTAAAAGCGCGCGGCACGAAACGCGCGACAAAGGTGTATATTCGATACGCCTAGGTGTGAACCCAGCGTTAAGATTTTATTTGCCTGGAGTTCCTCTTTAAGTCCTCTAAGTTGTGAGGTGGGGCCTCCACGGATCGGACTTGTTTTTCCAGCACATCCCATAGATGCTCTATTGGTTTGAGATCAGGAGAATGTTGGAGGCCAAGTCAACATCTCAAACTGATTGTTGTGTTCCTCGAACCATTCTTGCAGTGTGGAAGGGTGCATTATACTACTGAAAGAGGCCACTGCCATCAGGGAATATGGTTTCTATGAAGGGGTGTACTTGGTCAGCAACAATATTTAGGTAGGTGTAGAGATGGGAAGGGCTGGAAAAAAAAACGGAAACATTTCTCAGCAGTTTTTGCTTTTTTCAGGAAAAATTTAAATGAAAAAAAAAAAACAAGAGTGTGAAATATGTTCTTTTACAATGATAAATATATCTTTGACATAGTATTCAAACTATATAACATGAAAACCTTAATGAAAGATTTCTGAGAGTTTCTGTAAAGTCTTAAATTATTATACATTCTCTCAGCTGAAGAAAAGCAAATCCTGGAATACAAATCAAGTAACTTGTACTTCTCAATGCAATTCTTAAACTCAAAAAGAAATTTGCATTTCTGCCACTGGGGGCGCTGCAGAGGAAAGACTCCAGTTTAGTTAGCTTGTGGGCTCTCTCTTGTACTTCCTACAGTTGGCTGATTGTTGGTAGGATAGTCCTCTCAGTCCCCTCTTACCTGTCCTCTCAGGCCTTAAATGACAGGTAAGAGGGTACATTTGTCTGACAAATGTATCTTTATAACCTTTAAATGATTCCTAATAGTGTTCTACACCATCACAGTATAAGGTTTACCTATAGTCTGCTCAGTACATTGTTTTTTTTCCCCTCTCAGTAAAATGGTGAGACCAACATCTAGGGTTTGGAAACATTTCCAAAGTGCAAGTTCTGCTGAGAGCAAAGCTGCAATTTGCAAATATAAAAAACAATTTTAAAAACCACGTTTAGTTTATTTACTGAATAAGCTGTACTTTTATTTCAAGCATAATACTTTTATCTACACTGCATTTCATGTTCCTAATGTAACAAAATTACTTTCAATTTGTAAAAACACTGATTTTTTTTTTTTTATTTATCCCAAAAATTTCTCATGGCTTCAAAATGTCAGGAAATTTTACATCTCTAGAGGTGGTATGTGTCAAAGTAACGTGAATGGCAGGACCCAAGGTTTCCTAGCAGAACATTGGCCAAAGCTTACTGCCTCTGCTAGCTTGGCTTCCTTCCATACCATCTCTTCCCCAGGTAAGCAACACGTGCACACACAGCGGTCCACCTGCTGTAAAATTAAAATGCGACTCATCAAACCAGGCCACCTTTCCCATTGCTGTGGTCCCGTTCTGATGCTCATGTGACCATTGCAGGCGTTTTGGCAGTGGACACAGTTAAGCATGGGCATCCCTATAATGAGGCAGCCTGAGGTGGTTGCCTCAGGTGACATCT